TTTGAAATTTGAGAAAACAAAGTACAGATTTGCTGTTCCCGTCAAACATATCTCCTCAGTCAGGAGGCCCTCAGCCAAATACTTCAGATGGCAGTTTTTCACTTTAGTACACTCTTACACACCCATCTGTGAAAAAAAAATAGTTAAAAGGGGGCTAAGACACTCCAAACTTACATATTTTGATGAAGAATTGGCCACACTGGCTTCCGGAAACTTCCAGAAATCCACCAGCAGACTGCTAGGTGTCCATCAAGACGCCCAGCAGCTGCCAGTGACTGTTAAGATCCGTTGACGCCTTTTAACTGTCCACGTGCCGGAAACCAGGTGCGCCCTACGCACTGCATGTCGTAAAGCCCAGGCGTTCAAAGTGCCTGGCCGTAATACGATGCATGTTCACGGCTTTTGTGACTAATCAGGTGATTGCGCTAACCAATCTGTAGTTACTTATGAATATTACATGACCACTGGCCAGTAAATCCTGTGGTTGATCAAAAGGCTATTTAGAATAGGAGATTTTTCACATTTCAGACAGAAATAGGGCATAGAAAGGGAAGGTTTCCAACCAATCGCGCCTTTCTGCCTACTGAGAGGCAAGGCCTCTAGCTTCGAAGGTTCGAAGCTGGGCCTTGGATCCTAAACTTAATTTAGCTGAGATGATTGGGAGGACAGGCAACCTCTAGGGCTCTGTTGTGAGAGTCTCTCAAGCACAGTTTTGTGGAGACACAGGCACCTGGGCTAGCTAGTATAACTTCTACCTCCCAAAAGTAATTCTAGGGGCCAGTTTCCTAAGCATGTCAAACACTTCCATTTGGTTATATAAACCATGTTACTATTAACATGCAACCACATACTCCTTTCCTCCTTCTGTAATCCACTAGAGATGTCCATGATGACTGGGTTCCAGGGGTACACTTCAGTGCTAAAACTTGAATGGGGAGGGCCCCATTCTTAGCAACAGATCTTTGCTTGGTAGCCTAGGGACACGAATAAAGGTATTTCCAGTCTCCAATAAGCAAAGCTATTGGAGCACAAAGCTAACATATTCCAGTGTTATAGTTGCTGGATTTAAACACCATGATCAACACTTATTCTAAAGCAATGTGCAAGCTAAATCATAATCATGTTGTTTTCTCCAGTATAAAATGGGCATATCTTGGGAAGAATACACATTAGTATAAGCAAAGCACTTAGTGCTGGAGACAGTAGTTTTATTAGATAATAAAGCTGATGTGACATTAACTAGTGGCAATTTATCTTACATATATCAGTATAATAAACTCTGAAACAAAGCAGTCAAATGTTTCAAAATAAAGTCACAAATCTTAACCTAGGATAGAAAGTAGCCACAAAATAGCTTGGGCATTAAAAATATATAATTCCCTATTAAAACTGAAATTAGGGTAGTTTCCATTATAGATAACATGCTTTCCTGCTAAGAAATCCCTCCTGTATATCTAGTAGCCTGTGAAACACTTCATGCTTGTGAAACGTCCAAACTATAGTTACATAATAATAAAGAGAAAATCCAGTTCTTTAATTGCAGTCACGTTTATTTGCAGTCTCTATACACACTTTCTAGGTAATCAAACTGTTCTGATACATTTTTTTTGAGAGGGGTTCACAATGAAACTGTCACCGTTTGTACTAAAAATAAATACAAGACTTAAAGTGTTGCACAGCTCTAAAATATACAAAGGTTTGGATTGAATGTAAACGTTGAAAACATCTTACAAAAGAAACCATCTTTGCAACAATTTAAAAAGTTCATATTTACAAATGTTACAAAAATACAAAATGGATGCAAGTCCAAAAACCATTGTCTTTTCGGCCAGCATGAACTGGTTCTAGTACCAAAATAGTTACACCATAACCTTCAGAGTTCAAGCTTTGTTACCATCTTATCCTCTAAGCAATTTCCACTACAGAGAATGTACTCACTGGCAAGAGCAAATGGTGTTTTCTTTGCTACAACTAGCCCATGTCCTCTACTTAGCCAAAAACAAAACAAGAAAAATCAAACTAGAATCACCAGAAAAGCATGAAAGTAAAACAGAATTCCCCCACAGAACATAAACATGTTGGATAAACACAGAAAAGAAAAATTAGAATCAGTGCAAACAACAGAAGAAAAGTTTCAATTGGTTTTGTTTTTTTGTTTGGTTTTGGTTTTGGTTTTTTGAACAATACCTAATGTGTGTACCCTGCTTCAAGCTGACAGTGATGTTAAAGACAGCCCTACATCTTGGTCTTGTTTAGTATATTACAAAGCCGTGTAGACTATTCCAGATTATTAAGGATTTTCTTGCTTTTAAAACATTCTTATTCAATATTCTTGTCCACAGTGAATCTAAAATCCATCTTTATTGGGGATTTCTTTAAATCTATGAAATACAAAATAGAGAAACTCTGCTATAGATTTTTAGAGTAAACAAAATAAGTAAAACTATATTATAAGGGTTGGTTTGGTGATCAACACATCAACGGTATCTTATTGCCTCACAATTCAAGTTAAACATGTTTAAAAATATATGGTATGATTACTTAAATTAATGTCAATAAAAAGGTGACATCTTTATTAAAGCCAATTTATGGGTTTTTCTACTCAAGATTTAGAATCACTTTTAAAGCCCACAAACCTTTCTTCACACTAAAAACCCTCTAGCTACACAAAAGCCATACTGCAAACGAACTGCTTTTATGAAAATTACAAATGATCACCTATTGTGACTGGAAATGATGGTTCCTTATCACACTTGTCTAAAAATTTTTATTTTTAAATTTTTGTGACATGTACTTTTCAAAGCATGAGACAGATTTGTTCATGATCCCACATGATATTAAACCATGCTGGTTGTGTGTGTGTGTGTGTGTGTGTGTGTGTGTGTGTGTGTGTGTACTGTGTTATTTTTAATGAGTTACATGTTCCAATGATGAATGATGGTCAATTTTTGTCAATCCCCAACAATTTTCTTTTAATAAAATTATAACACTTCGTATATGTTCAAACCCTTTACCAGGTAGTTTATCTATCCCCAGCACACACTTGCGCTCACTCTCTCTCCCACTCTCTCTCTCTCTCTCTCTCTCTCTCTCATTATCTCTCCCTGTTCTCAATTTCCTCCTCTATCCCTCCACCCCTAACACCCATTTTACATACAAGAATGACAAGAAATTAACTAATACAATTTGGTAGTAAAAGCAACTAAAAGAAGAAGTCAGACGTTTTCCCCCAAACAAAACACCAACAACAGGTTCTTTAATTCTTAATCTGTAAATATAACAAATTTCTATTGAAACACAGTGTCTTCTTAGACCAGACTTTCTCCTTCATTTAGCATAAGCAAATCCTTTCATACATCTTACCTTTTCAAATATCACTTGCATAGGCTTAAAGCCAACTGCTTATCAATTTCTTGGTAACCCTGGTGTGTTCTGTCATTGTCATCACGTTGTAGTCTTCTGCAGATCATACCCCTTCTCAGTTCTAATTTCTACCACTCCCATTCATAACCTATTCTAAGTACATAGGTGATTATATTTCTGACATATTATTTCAAACATTAGTTCATGTTAAAATCAGAGGTGTGAGAACCACTTGCAGATTTCAACTTGTTACTATACTTCTTTTTTTTTCTTTTCAGTTTTAAGACAAGAAAATTCAAGTAATTTCAAGTAATTCAGCTTGTTTCCCTGCCTTCATTTTATCAGGGCACTTGCCCTGACATTTGCTTTCCCACCCACCACCCTCCCCTTTTGCCATCAAGCAGATCTAGTAAAACCAGACAAAAATTCGTTGTATGTAGCATTGTGAACCAGAGCTGCTCCCCATGCCCAGTTGAAGAATGAATATAAATAATGCATATACACATACCTATTTCCCAACTACATTGTTCACAGTGTCATTTCTGTTATGTTTTAGGTAGCATGAATCTCATCAGCACAGAGAGAAAGCTTCGCTGAAAACTCATCACAGGTACTTACTGAGAATTCAATAGCTCTGTGGCATGCTTAGGTTTTATTTCTGTTAGTTTGAGAACGTGGAGCTAATTAAGAAGCTTAAAGAGTATAGTCATTGGAGTATGACTGTCCCCAAGTAGCCTTATATAAAACATGACCTTAAATTGACTACTGGTTTCTCTACTCATTCTTAAAGCAATCCATTTGGGGGGAAAATAGATTCTAAAGGACACTGTTTAATGCTATTGGGGGGGTCTTTGCATTGAGAATGGTGATTTTTTTCATTGATTAAAAAAAAATCAAAAGCATGCTTTCATTCTCTTCAAATTGCCACATGGCAAATCACAGCCACAAACTGAGATTAGCTTGTTTCTGCTATAATTTGTCACAACAATGATTAGGTCTGAATTCATTACTTTAAATTAATCACATCTCAGTACATGACCTCAATATTTCCATTATTTAACCAGTTTTAAATTCATATTTGAGGTTTATCACTCACAAATCATGTTGGTGGACATTTAAATATGGTATCTGATATGAAAATGGTATTCACAGAATACAGTTATTATACTTTATTTGTGTGTTTCCTATAAACAGTTGGTGTGTGGTTGATAATTGGCCACTTGTCCACTCATCATTGATAAATCTATTTACACATTTTTATCAAAAATATGGTATTTACATATGTGTAGTTTTTTCTTCTAAATTTTGCTTTAGTTCATTTTAATGTAAAAAAATACCAAACCTCCAGAGTAATTTCATCTTCTTAAAGTATGACGGTGAGGGCTTTATTTTCGGAATAGGCAGCTCTGGGAAAACCTTGTCTAGGTTTCAAGAAAGTTAGATAGTTTTGTATTCTCTATTATCACAAGGAATGAGATTGGATAAATCAAACTATGCTAAAGAAAGCCACGACAGACAGAACTGCTACTTAAAAACATGAAAACTAATAAAAACGACTCAACAACTTTGTTTCTCCAGCACATATTTAGAAGCTCATTGCCAAGCAACGATGCAACAACCCCCCCCCCCACCCTGTTGCCACTTCTCCCAGTTCTTCTAAGGTGTCACAAAACCCTTTCATTAGTAAGAGGTTGGACATCTGAGATCAGTTGGGCTCAGGCAAACTATGTGGAGCTCTGGGAGGACCGGTCATCATGAGGGCTCCCATCGGAGTTTTCAGTCTCTCCCTCGGAGATGGCCTGCATCGGCGTATTGTACAGCCGACAGCGGACACTGTAGCGGCTGCTGCTGGCCACAGGTGGGGCCCTGGAACGTCCAACCCGTGCTGATGCTGAGGTGGCAAAGGTTTTCGAGGAAAACCCTTCTACACTGACTCGTGGAGAGCACGGTGACAGAGGGGACAGTGCTTCAGCCCCAGGTGTGCCCTGGTGGTTATCATCAGGGCTTTGTGGGGACTCGGAACTGAACTCTCCAGGAGGCTTGGGCAGGATGGGGCTCTTCAGGATTTCGGTGGCAGACATGCGGTAACTAGAATCTGAGCGACTACCTTTCTTGAGAAGCAGTAGCTTAAACTCTTCGTTGGATGTGTTGGACTTTTTGGCATTACGGTAGATGAGACCAGGAGACCTCTGGCTAGTCCCAGCTGTCACATTGCTGCTGGGTGAAGGGACAGAACAGGCACTGCTGCTACTGCTGCCAAGGGAAACTCTGGATTTGCTTCTAACAGATATGTCTCCAGAATCTTTTCTTCCAAGTACTTTCCTCTTGGATCTTTTAAGAAAAGAGAAAATAGGGTGGATATCTGAGTTTACATACATTTTTATGAATCAAGAAGCCTTCCATCTGATTCCTGCATCCATTATATTTAAAGAGCATCCCTAGGTTGTAGAATATTAAGCATTAGCATCACATTGAGGAAGATTAAGCTCCATTACTTGCCCTCCTCAACTTTAAGGGAGAAAAACACCTGCTGACCTCTGTTTACAATGTGAGGAAAAACTGTTGCTTTTTCTCACTGAATCTGTCTGTACAACACAGAGGAATAGTCTCACATCATGAATCAGCTTTCAAATAATACTAAATGCAGCAAGTGTAGAATGGCATTGGTAGGACACGGCTTGCCTTAATTGAATACCTGGTGGGTCTTGATGATGAACAATGGAGGTGCGTTGCAGAGTAGCCTATATTTTACAAATAAAATCTACATTTTAATCTACTGTACATGGAAATTTAGTTAAGTGACCTTTGAAATAAATCAGTCTGTTTTTTAAATACAAATATGACAATCCTTAGCCACCCAGGGACATCAACAGCATATCAAGCAGCAAGTCAACTCTCTGTGAGGAACCGAAAACTCAAACCATTTCTGGAGCTCTTAAAATATTATAAAATCTAAGCTCTCAAAACAACAAATTAACTCTTGTCACTGGGGTGAAATTAAACAGGCCAATCTTACACAAATACAAATCTAAGATTACCAAACTCCTTAAATCTACCTCACCTCTGTTTCCATCATGAAACTATTGATCTTATTTTGAAAATTAAGTGTCCATAAACTCAATGAGCCTTCAACATAACTCAGTCATTCATGACTCTGGTGGCATGCTCTCTCACTAATTGAAAACCTTGTGTGGTAAAGAAATGTGTGCTTTGCCTTTCCAGATTCCAGGGGAGCGTGCTTGTGCTCAGAGAAGCCTCTGTGGTTGATATCTTTACATATCTGTTCTTGGTACCACCAGATGATACAGTTTTCATATAGCAGGTGTTCTGAGCATCTACAATATTCTAGACACAAAATTATTTCTTTTTATCAACAGAATTATCTGTGAGGTGAAGTTCAGAGACTTAGCTTATTCAAGATAGCATAGAAAGCAGCATTGTCAGGACTCCAATCCAATATATTTCTGATTCTACAATGTGTGTTCTGCCCACTATTTCAGACACACCAGATGGTTCTTTGAGGGTTCATTAATTTACACAGCAAATTAATAATTCGTACTGAGATTGGAAATAAAGTTTGAGGGTTAGAGGACTATAATTGGCATTTTGACAACAGCTGTGGTGAAGAACATAAACTGGAAAATCGTACCCTGTTTGTGAGGAAGCTTGCCTGGTACATACAGACTGTGCTGCTAATGGAACCCTTAGGATAATGATTTTGCTAAAGAGTAGTGCTCCTTCATTAAGAAAAACAAAACAGCACCAACAGAAAATAGAAACCTTAAAAAAAGAAAAGAAATAAAAGCAGAAATCCAAAGGGTGGGAGGAGAGATTATAAACCATTTTGAAATAGTAAGTCTGTGAAAAAGGAAAAGTAATCCTCAGGTTCTATCCTTTGGGAATTCCATCTAGGTCCCCTAGGCCAGGTGGAAGAAGGAATTCATGTTTGTGGAAAGAGCATAAGTAGCCTCATTTGGTTCAGTGGCTATGAGTTTGCTTCCAAAGGGGAGTTCTGGCTCTGCTTTTTCTGGGCAGCAACTGTAATGGATTGTTGCAAGTATGGGCCATTGATAACAGGTTATAAAGGTACAAAAGAGAAAGTGTGCATGGGCAGCAAAGGCACAACCATGTTCTAGGAAAGCAACCCAGAGAGCATCCCCCTATTCACTGGATATGGCTTCCATTTCAGAGATAAAAGTCAGTGTCATGAAAGAAATTTAATTTTTGAAGAGAGAATCAAAGAGAGCAGTTTTCAGTTGTTCCAAGCTGAGATGGGCTCAGATTGTTTTGTCAAGTCAATATAGTTTTATATCAGCTAGTGTGAGATTATAGCTTTGAGCATATTTTGTAGACTCAAGGGATTAGTTAAAAGACAGAGATTAAGTGTATAACTCAGTGGCAAAGTGCTTTCCTAGACTGTGTGGAATCTTGAGTTTGATTTCTAGTACTGAAAAGATAATAAATACAAAATACAATATGTACAACAGAGGTTACACTTGAATTTGGGCTTTCCCTCCAAGTCATTTAACTATAAATTATTTTCACATGTAAATTTCTTCCTCGGGAAATCATCCAGTATCTTCCCTTCAGTGATTCTTACTGAACTCTCTTAATTGAACTCTGTATGTCTGTCTATCTAGCTATAGATGTATATCTAGATTCATATTTTCAAACATGCACTTGTCTATGAATTTGACTTGGAATGATAATCCTCCTTCCTTGCTCTTGTTTTGGTTGTATGTGTTACAGATATAAAACACTTCCCCACATTTGCTTTGACAAGGAGCACTTCAGAAAGCAAATACATTTCTGTGCCTTTTGTTTCTGGGAAGCTGGTCACATGCTCTCACCTGTGAATGACAGCGAATAAATCCTCAGTTGTTCGAGGTTTATTTGGAGACACAAATACACCCTCAGCTTCAGCTTGGGAGTCTTCACTGAGTGGTGAAGTGATGGAGTCATCACTTGGTGATGATTCTTAAAACAAGAACAGAAACATCTTTCAGAGGTAGCTACACATCCTGCTACCCTCTTTCCTTGACTCCAGGATCAAACGAACAGAAGGTACCTTACCATGATTTTTGAAATAAGAGGTATCTGTCAAATATTAGTTCCTAAAAAACAATAGCTTTCTTCTCAATTATTTTAATAGGTGAAAAAAGAAATGGCAGAGGGAAACCATCACCCAGGGCTATAGAGAACTACAGGGAATGCGGGAAAAACCTAGGACACATTTTTACCCTTACTAAGGTATCATTAACTGACCTTTCAATGAAGTCTCATCCATACTTCCTTGGGTCTCCTCTGCTCTGCTGTTATCAGAGGCACTTTTGGGTGAGATACCTGAAGCAATATTTTCCTGCTCAGAACACTTATCAGGGAATGATTTTAGAGTTGACATCTCTGACTCATGGTGGATAGTCACAGGCACTTTGTCGTGGTGGCGGCTCATAAGACGCTGATGCTTATGTTGACTGCTTATGTCTGTTACTCTAGTTGGTGAGTTGGCTTGAAGTGTGATTCCCTCCACAGATTCCAGTTTCACACCTTCTTCCCCAACTCCAAAGGGTGCCTTCTGCCCTTGTTGTGGGGCTCCATCTGGACTAGCTACATACTGCATCATTTTACCCCCCAAATCACTGGGGCGGGCAGCAGACACCCTCTGAAATCCTGTTGCAAATCCACAGTTCTTACTTGCTGTGTTCTCTGGAATAAGCTCACTTTCCATCTGTATTTGGTCTTTCATCACATTTGAATCTGAAAGATTGCAACTAGCTGAGGTTACAGTTTCTGGATCACAGTGACTCTTCACATCAAAAGTAGGGTTCTTTCGCAAATGTTTCTCTGGCCCCATTTCAACTGCAGAAGAATCTAAAAGGGACAGGGAGCTGTCTTCTGCAGAGTACTGGCGTGATATTGATTTCTTTGCTGTGTGAGACCTTGTTTTATCTGGAGATGAGGAAGCCACAGAAGCCACTGTGACAGTACTCTCTTCTAAGGAAGGGAGATCTGTATGATTGCCCTCCTTTTGCTTAACTTCTTCAGATTTAGTGATGGATCTAAGGTTTACAGATTTCAGGACTGTTGGTGTAATTGCAAGAGATGGTGGAGGATTTGACCTCAGCATATCTCCTACTGCGTTTTGCTTATGAGTAAAAACATGCAATGGGTGACGGTGGTGGAATGGTTTATTCAAAACGTTATGAAGAGCACTTAGGTCAAGATGAGTAGGAGGTATAATTGGAAGTTCCAAATCTTTACTCAATGTTAGGGCTCCATCCTTTAAAGATGGTTGCTGTAGTGAAGATTTCCTTTCTGGGACCTTCGGTTTTCTTTTGCTACCTCCAGGAGACAATGGGCCTGAAAAGAAAGCCGTAGGGAAAGAGGAAGTTGGAGTTTCTGACTGGCTTGAGTAGCCACTTGATGGAGATGCTAAGCCAGCCAGCTTTTCTGGTGAAGCCAGTTTAAATTCATTGTCAACAGAAGGAAGAGAGGGGGTGGTTGCCCTTGATTCTGACTGGGATGTTTGGGATTCAGAACTCTCTGGAGATTTGATGCATTCAATAACTGTGGTACCCGTAGCAGTGCTTGAATTAGATAAGGATCTGTAAGGATCATTTGTTTTCAAGTCATTTAGAAGCCAGAGGTCTGCATAGTGAGTTGATTCAGCACCTTCATCTTTGAATGGTGAAATGTCGGTAGCATTCAACTGAGGTTCCTTAATAGCATGTTCACTCTGGTTTATCCAAGAAGAGTCCTGCTTTGCAGGCAGATTGGCATTTTCCACTCGAGAAGGCGTGTTGGAGAAATCAAGAGGCAGCTTCATTTCCCTGGAACTGTGAGGCAGATGCTGACCACTGCTTATCTTTGGTTCTTTCTTCTCAGAAATGTCTGCATTTTCTTCGGACTTTTTCAATGATGAGCTACGTTTAGGTGGAGTTGGCTTTGCCTTTGGTTTCCTGAAAGAGATGCTTGGTCTCCCCTGCCTCCTGTGGTCGAAGCAGTCTTGCCAGGTGCAGTCTGGAAGACCAGGAGGAACTCCTACACCCTGACCATTCTCTGGGCCTAGGCCTGCATAGTGACAGACATAGCTCTTATTACTTTTGAGACCACAGTCAAAGTGCATCGAGGTATAGTATCCTTCTGTATCCACTGAGAAATGAGAGCTAGTATCTGCTTTGTCTGAAGGAGACTTTTCCAGAAAGCTGTCATATGTACCCATGCTTGTGAAGCTTGGGCAGCCCAGGCTATCTGCTTTTGGACGCTCAGGACTGAAATCTTGGCGGCAGGATGCGTCATGATGGTGGTGTAGATAATTCCACTCACTGTCACTTGTATTGCTGTTGTTGGGGTCATCCAGCAAATCTGCAACAGTGGAGGTGAAGGAGTTTGTCCGGTGGCCTCTTACTTTATCCAAGTGGTCATTGTACTGCTCTGTCACAAAGACATTGGTGTCTTCATTTGCATTAGGAGCAGTGTTCAGTGACAATTCGGAGTCACAGTGTGAAGAGCCAGTGAGGGGAGGAGACGCTGCAGGAGGGATTGTCTCTGAGGTCTGTGAAGGACATGTGGAGCTGCTCCCACTCCAATTACCACTGGACGACTGGTGGTCGTCTTTCTGGTCCATGTGGCTGCTAAGGAGGACACTAGTTGTGGAAATGCAATGGATAGGGCTTCCAAAGGTGTCTGAGTTGGAGGAGATGTCACAGCTTCCAGAGTCAGCTGCCATTCGGGACAGACGTGACCGCCCTCTCTCATTTAACTTGTGCTGGGGGCTGTGAAGATGTTGAGAACAGGCCAGGCCCAAAGCAGGCTGGTGTTCCTGTGCACTCGGTATGCTCGAAGCTTCACTACAATCATTAGGGGTTCTTTCATGGTCACCCACAAAAGGTTGCCTTTCTTCATATGCTGAGGGTTTAGCACCAACTTTGGGCTCAGCATCTCCACCCCTATTTCCCTCCCGTGGAAGGCTCCGCGATCTAGTGCGGCTGCTCACTACAGGGGTAAACATGGTATCGCCTTTGTCTGCCAGTGCAGAGATGTTGCCAGCAGAATGAGAAAGAGAAGCTGCAATGCTTTGACCTCTTTGAGCTCTGATTCTCCTTCTGGATGGGGCAGCAATCAGAATATCCTCAGTTTGGCATTCAGAGTCCCTTGTTCCGGACCTCCTATTGACAGTGTTGGAGGGGTCTGGGTTTGTGTGCACAATCACATTCCTTTCCCTGGCCACTGGTGATTCATCAGAATCTAGGGTACATGGAAAACACCATAAAATATTACATAATGGCAGACTAACAGGCATTTTGAGGGGTGTCTATAAATCTGTGTGCTACCATATTTGAACTTTCTCCCACAGAAAAAAATTAGTATGTAAGATTAGGAGAAAGTTCAAATGCTTTCAGTGAGTGATTTGTCTCTACTTCTATCTAAATGTATGTTTGTATATACTTGCACACACTTGCAGCATGCAAACTTATAGAGAGAAGATATTCTTTTTGTTTTTTTATGAATCATCTCTCTTTGCATTAATGCTCCAACAAGTAACTGCTTTCATAAAAGAAAACTGATAAAAAATCAAAAACCAACTGTAGTACAAAATCTAAAATCCTGGTCACTACTTTTCACTTGTGTTTTGAAATACAAGCATAATGGAACACAATTCATAATCTTCATTATAAAAATTAAAGTTTTAATTACCATAATATTTTTAAATTGGTAGAAATATTACAAATACACTAAACAGAAATTTTTTAATGTCACAAAGCACATTTTTCTTCAAATAAAGCTACAGTTTTCAAAAAACTTGCATTGAATCTTTATTCATATTTCTATCTTAATAAAACATTTGAATTGGCAAGATATTATATTTCATCAGAAATGGTTGAATCTATAAGGTTAAGCCTTTATGTTCAAGAATAGAATGTAAAAAATAATGTCAAATGGTTTTATGAATGCAAAATGAAGATGTAATAGTTTAAAACTATTGCAAACTAAAACATTCGCTATTTATAAGGAAGGCTGTTGAAAGTATGCACTTATTTCCTCTCCTTATCATCTTCACTAGACAGAAACCATGAACATTTTTATGCCATACCTATTTCTTGTTGAACTCTTCTGGGAATCCCCGAGATGGTTTTCCTTCTCCTCAATTTTCGTCTCCTCTGTAGTACCGATTGTGAGTGAACAAGAGAACAGCGTATACTAGCTTCTCTGTCAAAACCAACTCCTGAAACCCACAAATAGGTCTCATTAGGCTTAAAAATAGCAGACAAATTTTCATTTGCTTGAAAAACAGTGATATTTATTGATTGGAAGTCAGGGAAGACTCTGGATTAAGGGAGTCTTTCTTCATCCCTTATTTAAATGATGCTGCAGTACATTCAGCTTTACTTCTAAATGTAGCCTCCCACAACAGTTTGCAAAGCCAAAAGCAACAAGCAAAAAGAAGAAAATGAAAAGAAATAGAGAGAATAGAAAGGAACACCAGCAAAGCCCTCTCATACTGAACAGACTATGACCTTTAGTCACTATTATTTACTGGTCTATTTCTGAGCCCTCTGAAACTGATATCTTTGCATAGTAGATCAGTACCCAAGATGGGAACCTAATGTATCCTGACCTATTTCTTCATTAAAAGTGCCTTTGTGAGTTTTTCTCTCTCTACCTCCTATGCCCAAACACCACACACAAATTAGGGCATTCTTCTTTTCAATAATCTTCTAACTCTACTTTCTTTTGTGACTAAACTGGATGCTTTTTGGTTGGAAATAAACATACAGAGGAGTTCCCGGTCCTGCACTTAAAATCGATCTACCTTCTGTACCAATCAGCTATAAGATAGATTCCCCAGTCTTTAAAGCACTGTTTGTTATTATGCAGGCAAGGACCAACCATGGTGCTTATTAGTTCTTCTCTGTAATCACATTAGTAGCAATATATGTGGTTCTATTAAATTAGAACAAGGAGTATGCAGGTAAGGAATTCAAAGTATGTCTGCTATAAGCATGCACTGTAGATTTTCCAGTGCAAGTTGTGGCTAAGTAATCTGGGAATGCTGTGCTTTGGAATTTGATCATCTCTTCATGTTTCCTAACTGATAATCCTTGGGTCAGCTGTATTGCATCACAATGACAACAGTTTCTAGGCTCAATTTGAAATATCTGTGTCACATGATAAATGATTACAATGTTATCAGATAACACATGTGAATGATACTTTCCTTTCCTGGTTCCAATCAAAAACTAAAATCCTTTATTTGAATCTTAATGGTGATTGAATGCATGATCTACATACACTGTATATTATATGGACATCATTAACATTGCTCTCATTGGAGCTCTTGAAATCAACATAAATCTGGGCCTTCATCTTGAGAGTTCCTGAAATAAAACTGGAAGAAAAATCTTCTCTTTTTCCTAATCACAAGATGATGGTCCATAATCATAATACTACATTTGAAAACAAGATTTTACTTACAGTACCAGAAAGAAAGCAGAGGCTGCTAATAGTCAAATGTTCCCAGACAGAAAATTAGTTTAAAGGGATGCCAGAATGCTCTACTTCGGCAGATGAACACCTCTAACACATCTCATTTAGATTACAGAGGTCAGACAAGTGCACATCTTTAGAATAATTTATTCCACAAGTTGAATAGGTCAGCAGGAAAATGAAGTCTCATCTCACAATACAACTGGCCAACTCATTAGAGTACCTCTCATTCAGGAAAGAAAATAATATCTGTCCCAGATACCTGGTCCATTTGTTCCCCACTTTAGGTGAGAGAAATCTTAGGGGAATTAATAATAGCAATGTGCAAAATGCTTCTCAGGGGACATGCAATCTTTAGTTATGGGGATAAAGATGAAAGCCATAGTGTGGCTGTTTTTGAAGTTTTCACTATATAAATATGTTAAAAGGAAACTAGGTGCTTTAAAAAATACCAATTTGGGGGAGAATGATTGAGAACAAAGTATAATTCTCTGTCTCTCTCTGTCTTACTCCTCTCTCTCTCACAAACAAACACATACACACACACACACACACACACACACACACTCATATATACACAAATCACATAATTAAACCTATACCGATTCTTTAAAATATAAAACATCATCCGATTTACAGCTAAAATTCCCAGCTCCAGCTCCAGAGTTCACTACCTCTGCTAAAAAACACTGAAGAAAAACCAGCTAGGCTTCTTTCCTACCTAGACTAAACTGCAAACTTTCAATACATACAGATAGCAGAAAGTGAAAAGAAGCCAGGCTTGCTGGTTTTAAAACACAATTCACCCCTCTTCTCTGTATCTACATATTTTCAGGTCAAAAATCCCTAAAATCAACAAAGAAGTCTAAATGGTCTTGTAGAAAAGCCTACCTTTATCCAGGAAAGCATGAAAACAAATTTTCTAGTTGGTTGACAGGACCTTACTTGCAGTTTTAGAAACCTGGGTTTTGCTCTTTCTTGTGGTTCCACACATCATTATCATGTGATTAATCACTGCCAAAGAGCTATTTGGTGATTTTTTTTTTCAAAAAGAAACTGTCCATCATTTACATAACAAGCAGTCCAGCAGAATATATGCAAATTGGTGTTCAAAACCTGACAAAAGCATACTGAATATATTCTTAGCTGATAGGGAGGCTAACAGCAAAGGTTTTGAACATACTTAATACATGGAATGTTTAGACCCAACTGCCCTTAAAGGAAAAAAGAAAACGATACCAGTGACATTGATGGGAATAATGCAAGAGGAAATCACTTGGGCATCTTGTTTCATCTTCTCCTCGGGAGTCGGGAGAGGTAGTGCTTTGCTCCAGTTGGTCTGCTTGTCCAGTGTAGAGGGGACATTGTGTATTGGGTTTTTCGGCCTCTGCCCTAACATGACATCTGTGTCTTCATCCTCTGCAGAGTGAGACTGCAAACGAAATACATTCAGATTCACTTCCCATAATTTACATGTTTAAGGGATTTCATAGTTCAGTCTTTTGAAGTAAGGCTAGAAATAAACACGTAGGAGAAAGGAAACAGTCCTAGATTAAGCACAACTAATTAGAAGTTTTGTTTGAACAGTGAAGAGATATACAAGGAAAAAAAATGGGCCCAAAAAATAAACATGTTTTTCGGGTGAACTGGAATTAAGAGACCAATTAGTTAGAAATCTTATACCTTCAAACTGAAGAAGGCTGCCTGTCTCTAATCCAGAGAAAGGTAGATTTGCTTTGTGTATTTTTATGTCACTATAAATTCCTGCCAAAAATCTTGAGAGCTCTAGACCATGATGATCAAAGAAAGCAGATGAGCTAAATGCCTATAAAAATACCCAGAGACCATGAAGAAAACCTGGAGACATGAGGTGGTCTGGAACACAGCACCTGGAGGATAAACCGCCAACCTAAACCAGGAGGCCACAAAAACTCCAGGAGTTAATGGCACTGCAGGAAGACAGTGTTGGTGAATGACATTTGAAAAAGTCAGTTTAACTGACATTAGGTGGCTGTAGAAAAGCCAAAGGAAAGATGTGCCCCAGAATCCGACTACAGTGGAATATACAAATTCTGTTTCTAGAGGGAAAGACTGAAGGGAGTTTCTCTTTCGAATTTGGACTGGTAGTTTATTTCCTTCCAGCTGTGTAAGTTACAGGCTTTGATTTCTATATGACACTTGGAAATTGTCTACCTGAGCCTTTGATAAAAAACAATGCTGTCTAACTTCTATTTCAAGTATGGGATCCAAATCCAGGTTATTCAAAAGGTCCAGTCCCTTCCCACTTTTGGTTTCAGGGTTGGCATTCTAATCCAGAGTAGTAAAAGATCCAGGTTCCACCATTGAATCTACACTTCTTTCTTTATACAGTTCAGAGGAAGATGGGTAACTGTATAAAATAAGTATTTCATTTCCTCTTATTTCTATAATGATTTAATAATATTCTGTCCTAAAATCAGGATTAAAAAAAAAACCCTCTCTAGTCTTCACATTGGAAACTATACTACTGGCTCAGGATTGTATGTATTGTCAAATGAACTGTCCTCAAGTCTCCTGGCAGAGTAGCCTCCAGAGACCCATCTTTAAAGGAAACCCCAGAATTTACTTACCTTATCAGAGGTTTCTGTAAAGCCCCCCAACACACCCAATGGTATATGATTCCCCCTTGGGGAAAATTGTGCTCGCCATGAACGGTTTAGTAAAATATTACAACCTTCTTTCTCTCTTCAGCTTTTGTGCAAATTCCCAGTGAAGCGAATAGCTCAAATAAAGTTGGAGCACAAAAGACTTTGTTTCCTAGGTAACTTTCAAAAAGAAAAAAAAGTTTGGTGCATGCAAAGAGGGAGGGAGGGGGAGGAGAATGGAGTGGGAGACAGAGAGAGAGAGAGAGAGAGAGAGAGAGAGAGAGAGAGAGAGAGAGAGAGAGAGAGAGAGAGAGAAACACCAGAGCACAGGAAAGCTGAGCACTAGAGCCCAGCAGGAAAGAAAACTCCCACCACCTGAGTCCTCCTTTTTGCTGGCGATTCCTTCCTTGAATAACAATGGACTTGAAAGGACTAAAGGATAGTGACCCACTCCAGGTTGTGACCAGCAGCCAAAAGTACTTTTTATTTAATGGTGACAGGGACAATTGGCTGCCAGAGGATCCTCTTTTCTTGTTCTCCCCCCCTTTTTTTTTTTAATTTGAGAAGCTGATCCTTTACAGTTCTGATAAATACAGGGAAAACTGTAATTTCTTTTCCCCAAACTACAAAATTCAGGAACAGTGAAAGAGGATTCCCATGCTTAGCAGAGCTGCAAATTGCAACTCCAAGGGGGAACATTAATGGGGAACAATACCAATGACAGGAAAGTCTTTAATTCAAGTTAGGAAAATACCATCCTTTAAGTTGACTTAAGAGAAAAACTGTTAGTTGAAAATGGGCTTGCAATAAAGTTAAAAGAGAGAAGAAAGGGAGAGTGTCTGAAAAGAGCAGGGTAAAGCTGCAAAGCAATGTTCTCAGAACCAATACCTTTCTACTCCATGGGGCCATGTGGCAACATTCAGTGGGGGAGGGCGAGCGGGTGCTGTTAAACTATGAAGATGAAATGCAAAAGAAAAAAATTAAAAATGTATACAACACAATGCCCTAGTTAGGCCAAATCTGTGATACTAACAAATAACATTCTGGGAGAACTTCTCTCCTAAATGATTCTGTTCTGGCTAAGAGGATAGACTCTGGACCTAGAGTTCTTCAGTTCCAATCCTGGCTACCTGGCTTTCCCCCTACATGGTCAGGTACAATTCTTTAAAATCTGTAGTAAGATAGGCTTGAATATGTGCAGGTGTGTGTATGAGTGTTGATATGCATGCGTACATGTGTGTACTTGTGCACATGGAGGACAGAGGCTAACCTCAGGTGTCATCATTTCTCATGAATTATCCATTTTGTGTTGTTGTTGGTGGTGGTTGGTTGGTTTTTGTTTATCCTTGTGTGAGGGTCTTTAACTGGCCTGGAGCTTGTCAAATAGGTTGGAATGCCTGGGCAGTGAGTCTCAGGGATCTGCTTGTTTCTGCTTCCTCAGCTCTGGAATTATTACCTTGTACCACCACACCTGGCTTTAAGATTTAGATCTGAATGTTTGCAAGGCAAGCATTTTACCTACTGAGCCACCTCTACAGATCTGTAACTTCCCTGTCTTTTCGATCTAAGTCTTGCTAAGTTGAGAAAGACTAAATTTTTTTTTTCTTTCTTTAGAATGACTTTATTTTCCCATGAATTGTTTGGGAGAAAATGTCCTTTATGTATCACCTTCTTTACACTGCTCAAATTTGCTTCTCTGTCATCAAGCATATTTAAAGACCATTGGTTTCATGAGAGTTTCTGCTTCATACCCACAAATGGTTTAATGCTGGGCTGCCAACATCTCACAATACTTAAATTGAGAAGGGGCCCTGTATTTATTTTTTATTGAATGAAACAAATCATATTGTCAATCTTGCTTCAAAAATAATTTGGTAATCAGTATTCTCTCCAGGAACTACCAAGAAAGGCATTGAAGTTCTTCTTGTTTGTTTGTTTGTTTTGAGAGACAGATTCAGCATCCAGTCCATGTTGATCTCTAACCCACAGTGGTCTTGCCTAAGCCTTCCACATGTTGCAATTACAGGAATGCATTTACCATGCATTTATTTCTACCAGGTGAGAAAAACCATAGGCTGCATATAGGTAAAGATAGCTATGGATGTAGCCCAATAGAAAATTTTAAACTTGCCAAAAGCATTGTGGGTTTTTTTTTCTGTTATTTTTCAGTAACTTGACTTGTATATCCGTGTAAGGGTTTTGTTGATAGCAATGTCATGTTTCAATGTCAAAGGCTAGACATGCCTGTGAGTCTAATCTATACCAGCTTTAGATTCAGTTATGCACATATTATAGTACTTACCTTACAGCAGGGCTTTAATATAATACAAATTTCATTGAACACACACATGCACATATTGTAAATTGTGAATTCCTGTATTTAACTTTCTCTCTCAGTCTTTTATGATACTTGTTGCATTTCCCTTATAAGAACTCACCAAGATATTTGCCCACTCTAATGATACTAGACATCTGTGTGTTTTAGCAGGTATGAGAACTCCAACTAAAATTAGAGGCAGGCCAGGTGTTGGTGACCCCCACCTTTGATTCCAACACTCAGGAGGCAGAGGCATGCAGATCTGTGTGTGAGTTCGAGACCAGCCTGGTCTACTGAGCTAGTTCCAGGGCAGGCTCCAAGGCAATACGGAGAAACCCTGTCTCAATAAACAAAATAAAATTAAACAAAATTAGAGTCATGTCGAAGGTCTCAGGAGGGAACAGTTACCAGTGAAACCTCTGTCTTACTAGAGTAAAATATAAAACCAGACAGGAAACCACCAGAGACTTCTTGTTCCCTAAGTGAGTTGGCATGAGTGGATACGGAACCTAGTTATTCTCAATCCTATGGCAGGCATGCACTGAGGGAAGCATTCAAGATCTGATTCTAATTTACTCTTCTAAGTTTGAATGTGTAGGATTGTTGTTTAATTTTTATGTAGTGCAAATGACATTTCCTCACCCAGTTTGCTTTGACTAGATATTAAAACTAATGGGTTGAAAGAGCCTAAGGCTCCACTGAACTCAAACATTTCGAAAGATGTATTACATAATACCTGAGATCAGATTTGACTCTGGTTCTATCCTGAGAATCAGCAATAGATGATGTATAATTCTCATGTAAGAGACTGAAATGTGTAAAATAAAGGAACAATTCATAGAATCAGGTGAAAGGGGTCCTCAAAGGGTCATGTTGATATGGAAGTTGCTTCAAAGAAATTCAAGGCTTTGGTAGCCCATGAAGGGTAAAAAAAACTACATAATAGAAGACTGCAATTCAGAAAACATGAAAAAAAAATGAATGTTGACTAATGAATTTTGGTAGCTCATCATAAATCGCTCAATTCAGCTTTCCTGCTGGAATATTTTTCTTCAGGAATGAGAGATGAGGAGTAGATTTTACTTTTTATCTGTTTGTAAAACCCATCTACATATTAAACAAGTATGAGGTAAAAGCTGGCAGTGACTAAGGGTGGCCTTGACTGAATGCAGACAGTACAGACCACTGGTTTAGACTAGTATAATGAAGTCAAGGTCTGCTTGGATTATACTATCCAGCAGATTCAGCCTCAGATAATCATATCACTATTATTTTGGTACCAGCCCCAACCTATAACACACAAATGCTGATACTGGGTAACCTTAAGCTTTGGAATGGAGAGGTGGTGTTCTTTGGTTCCTCCACCTAAACCTAATTAGTCTGCCTGTAGATTTATAGTATCTGTGCATGTAGTATTAAGTGGGCCATGAATTAAGAACTGTCTGAGTCTTGTATTTGAAACCGTCCTGTCTCCTGGATGTTGGTCATCCAGCAAATTGATTCTGATTGTTTTGGATTATATTTTTATATGATGAATATTCTCAGAATTTCTCTCTAAATTATCTAAGAAATCAGATTCAAAGCCAGTTCTACCTCAGGGCATCTCTACTTGACCAGAATGCCATTCCTTAATAGGTACTGATGGATAAGTTGCAGAAAAGCTAGGCATTGATCAAATTTGTATAAACTAAATTATTCTTTAATGGCTTTATGTAAATGTACCCCATTGCTCATTCAGAGAAATGCTATCCATTATTCATAACTGTATTACCACTGACTCAATAATGTTCTATAAATATTTGTTGTGTTGCTAGCACCTTAGTGTGCCCAATATTAAGAAACAAATTCCTCTTAAAGAAATAAAATTCCTCATAAAGATATGACATCAAATTATTTCCACCTACACATCATTTTTCAGTACAGCTCTTAGTACAAAGTTAAAATGATTTAGCATAAGGGAAAATAAGACAACACCGGTGAGATTCATGCAAAACAACAGGTAATAGAAGAATACCCATAGGGATCCCTGCTTTTGGAAGTATCACTTAGTGTAAAAGTGGCAGTAAACAACACTTGGTTCTTTAGAATAACTGTGGGAAGAGTGTTAGGAGACCACCATTTCAATCACTTAAGAGTGTTTCTTAGATGAAGGTGGAAATCAGTTTCAGTGTAAACAAACTGTCAGGCTCAAAATAAAAGTAGTTTATCTCTAGTGTACAGTGTGCTCACTGTATAGTTCTTTTAACTTGTCTATACTATTGATATTTTCATAAAACATGCTGGAGAAAAATGAAAAATCCATTTCCTTCTCCTTTCCTAGGCTTTCATTTTGGCCCCCCTACCATTGATTTTGAGAGGCCTCGGACTAAATTACTACATTGTTGAATAAGCCAGGATCAATCATGTCCATCTTGTTCCTAACAATAGATTCTTCTTTGATACCTCACCTCCATTTTGGTCTCTGTGGGCCCTATTGTATTTTTCAAGTCGTTTCCCCTAGCCTTTCATAAGATTGCCTCAACCAAACCCAGAATTATATTTATGATCAATGCTCAGAACAAGAAATAACAAATGCTGTACTCAAAAGTAGTCAAGGAAATTTCTCTAGTGAACATTGAAACGTATTTTCAAAACCCGATCTTTTTGTGGTGTATATGCGAGAGAAAATTTCATGCCTTGACTTTTGTGGCTGTGAGCAAGCATTTCTCCAAAGAGTTGGAGATTTCCCCAAATCTCTCTTAGTGGCAAAAGAAGACAATCCTTCTACTCCACGTTTTACTTTCTGTTGGGTTTTATTTCACATGCGGATAGGGGATTATTTTGCTTCAAAACTTGCCAAAAGACATCTGTTAAAATGTTGTGGGTATTCCAGCAGGAAATGTTTTGAAAAATTGGCTTTGGTTTGTGATCTAACTGATACCACATGGCATTTATAGCTGTCGAAATTTCAGAGCTGATTTACAACAATCACGCTATCTTAAACCTGAGAAGTATTTACTGGAGATGAGGTATTACCATATATTTGAATACAGGAGTAAAAACCTTAGAGTAAAGATATCCTTTACAGTTCATATGAGACTTTTAGTAAGGTGACATGGATGTTTAATATCACTCTACCACAGAGCTTGTTTGTCCTCAGACTAATCTCTGCATTAATGTATGTACTATGGCCCATCTGTGAGATGGAGGATCCACATCTGCCTCAGATTCTTCTGTGCAGGAGTCTGTATGAATGTATTATACATAAATATGAACCACTTTGATCTTTCTCTGAGACTTAAAAAAGTTTGGCAATGCCTTCTTCACATGTCACTCTCTTCCTGCTGCCATGACAGAGCAGTCTGTCCCTTGAGACTATCTCAGAGTCTCTCACTGGCTGTCAATGTGATTGTCTTACCAAACATGTTTAATAATATCATTTTAAACTTACCCTGTGCTTCTTTCTCCCCATTTCTCTAAGTCCTGTACTAACAGAGCTGAATAAGCGATGGCAAATAAAATAATGGATGAGGAAGAGGCTTGGGGGATATCCTCTGCTTTAGGAGGGCTGAGCCCCAGCCCCAACCTTCAGTTTTCTCAAAGTCATCACTCTCACCTAACATGCCACCTGAACTCCAAATGTTCAAACCATCAC